AAACACAATGCAAATTAGTGATAATTATACTTCAAAGGTGACAGGTGCATATGCAAGTGAGCAGTTCAAAATTTTTAACAATTGTTGTGAGTGTGTGAAATTATATTTCAAGTTTTTTATGACTTTTTATACCCGTTACTCGTAGAGTAAAAGGGTATACTAGATTCGTTGAAAAGTATGTAACAGATAGAAGGAAGCGTTTCCGACCCTATAAAGTATAAAGTATAGCGAAGTCGATTGAGCCATGTCCGTCTGTCCGTCCGTCCGTCCGTCCGTATGAACGCTGAGATCTCAGGAACTATAGCAGATACAAAGATGAGATTAAGCATGAAGATTCTTGAGGTCCCGGGTCAGCGCAGGTTTATTTCCGCATCCCGCCATGCCCACTCTAACGCCCACAAATCGAAAAAATAAAATCGCATAAAATCTCGGGAACTATTAGAGCTAGAAAGTTGAAATTCATTATGTATAAACTTTGGATGCCAGCCAATCTTTTAGTGGTACTATTATCTGGCCACACCCACCCATACGCCCACGAATCCCAAAAGACGGTTTTCGCATTTTCAAGAAAACCTGATATCTCGGTAACTATAGGTGATAAAAAGTTCGGATTAAGCATGTAGATTATGAAGCCCCAAATGCGACGCCCACCCTAACGCCCACAAAACCCGAAAAACCAAAAATGCAAAAATCTCGGGAACTAAAAGAGCTAGAAAGTTAGGCTTAAGAATACGTATTTTAGGGATGCCACTGCAACTTTCCACGAGTTTTTATTCGACCACTCTAACGCCTACAAACCGCGGAACACTGTGGCGTCTATAATTATATTATAAAAGCCTTCGTTTGGCCTTGTGTAACTTATTTCTGTTAATATCTATCGACTTACCAAAGATTTTTAAGTCGGAATATTATTTCGCTATTTATGAAAAAATTTAGGTTATAGGGCCTCACATGGGCAGTGACAATAGGTGGCGCTTGGGTAATTTCAACTAGCAAAATGAATATTTTAAAATTGTGTAAAACAGTAACGGATGTCTTATAGTGGCGTCACTCGACTATAGCGTTTCCTCTTGTTTAACATATGATTGTAGGGTAGTACAAATTCATAATGTTTATTTCGGATATATGTAAAGGTAAATTAAAGAAACAAAGGTTTTGTATTAAACTTCACGACTTCCGCACTCTATGGATGACACTTGCTCTCTTCAATATTCGCAATCGACTGACTCCAACTTAAATTCATAAGGCGCAATTTCTATCAGGAAGAGGGTGATGGGTATAGACATTCTTTGATGAGAAGAGACAATTCTATCTGGCGTTTTGGTTGATAGAAAAAAGCTACGAGGTTGTGGAATTCCGAACAGAGTGTCTCCATATAAAATTAAATAGGCTTAATATACCCATATCCCACATGATGTACATTCTTTTTATTGTGCGATAAAAAACAAAAACGTTACATCATAGATGAGGGGGGCATTAATTAATACTAGATATGTTTTACAACTTATTATCATACGTAATTCGATTGACGCCATCATCTCCGGATACAGTGGCCTCCACCCTGTCGATGCGCCACCGCAAGGGGGGGTAAGTTGTCCTCCTTGATGAGGGCCATGCTGCCTAGCTGTATACGTAGGCCTGTCTGATTCTTCCACTTCAAAGCTGACCAGAAGTGCGGGTTTTCGACAACGGTAAAGATAAAAATGACGACATGATGATGAATTCATCCAAGTCAAGCTTATCCTTCCATAGGACCTCGGGGCTATTAATTCAAGTGGATCCTAGAATCTAGCTATTGCCGAAAGAATGCTGCGCTTGGTTACGGTCTGGTCTGCCACGGGCTTTAGAAGCTGAAAAGTAAACTATCCGATAGGGTATCCCAAGCTGGGTCCAACGATGCTAATTTAGCCTCGAGTGCCTTAAAACGAAGGTGGGAAGGTTGCGGTGAAAATAGCTGCTCGCCTAGAGCATCGTCCTTCGAAATGGTTGTTGTAAAATCTGGGCCACTTCTCTTTAATGTGTCAGAAATTGACTCCGACTCAAACTGAGTGCAGGGCTCCTGAATTGAGGAGATTGAAGATGAGCGCGTAGAGGCTCCTACCTTTAGACACCCTGGGACAATCTGGTTTTCTGCAGGGTGGGTAAACCAAGCAGCTCGAAGAATTCATTTGCTCCAATAAGGAAGTCAATGCGCTGACTTTTGTAGACGAGCTCGGGATTTTCCGATATTTTCCACTCAGATGGGTTAGGGTCGAACTGGGTGATAATTGGTGATTGACCGGGTAACGGCAGCTACAAGCGACGTGCTGTACTTGGCATTGGCGGATTTTGAGAAAATGTTAACCGACTCATCCGATGCTAGCGAGATCTCGCCGATCCCTGATATGGAGATGGTTGAGCGATGGATTTGGAGTTGCAGTTGATTTGGGAAACGAGAGTTGACGAAGTTGATTTGAAAGGCCGAGTCGATTAAGGCCCGGCAAGGCACGAATGCGCCTGAGCAGTTTTTGACATTAACTATTGCGGTGGCAAGCAATACTTAATCGGCATTATTTGGCGACGAAGCTACAGGTGGTGGTTTTGGCAAGGCTATAGAAACTAAAGATGAACTATGTGGCGGCATTTCAGGACCAGGCTGCGGAAGGGATGGAATGAGATTCGATTACATATGCAAAAGAATTTGATGCTTCTGGTGGCAGTTCCTACAGCTGCCAGATCTGCATTGCCGTAAGCTGTGTCCCTTCCGTAGGCAATTTAAATTTAAACAAAGGTGCACCCTTTTTGTTTCGTTGTAGCGCTGAGTTGGAGTCAAGCCTAGAAGTTCTGGGCATTTCGCCAAAATAATGCTCCTGGGACTCACAGAGAATACACAACGGCAACATCGACGACGAAGCAATAAGTGCGGTGCTATGAATTCTACTAGCTACCCACCTGTTTGCTAGGTGAATGGTCTACCATAGCGCACTCCAAATTCTCCATAAGGCGGCACCCAAGATCCAAATATGTGGAAAATTTGTACCAATTCGGCAGCTCCTTTGCAGGCAATCCCACCTCCCACCTCTCCTGGTTCTGATGGTCCAGCTTCGAAGAGATGAGATGGATCAAAACACTGTCAAGAATTTTTAGAGTAGGTGTCATAGTACTGAGGGAGAGCAAGTTTGAATTTGTCTTGTCGCTCAATTGCCGCAAACTACTTGTTGCTCCCTTCTCCACCCCTAGTAGCTTGAATAATGACTGAACGTGTGGCTGGAAATGTATTAATTTATTATCAAATCATAAAATTAGTAGTTCTAAGGCCCTGTCATAATTCCTCTCAGTGGATTCCAGAGATCGAATTGTGTCCAACGCTGCGCCATCCAAGCAGAAACCAAGATGCTGGAATTTTTCCACATTTGATAAATCCTCGTTTGTTTCCAACACAGCGTTGAACATAGCATACAAGTCCGGCCAATCGATATATGCTCTACCAAATCGCGGAATATAAAATTCCGGTCTGGTAGGCCTAGAATTGCGTTTGAAGGTGGCACTGATGCACTGCAATTTGGTTGAATTTGCATTGGACTTTCTTTTTTCGCTGTTTAAGTGGCGGCAGATTCTCCCTCTTGTTTCTTATGGGATTACATCTCGGCGATTACTGGCCGTTCGAAGTTATGTTTAGAGCAGTCAAAGTCGGAATTCATCCTCTCGACCAACTCTAACCGCACATGCAATTCACTTTACCCCGGCCATGGAGGCCGTTTAAATAATTTATATTCTTGATCAGTATCAATAGCGAAGTCGATTAAGCCGTATCCATCTGTCCATATAAACGCTAAGATCTCAAGAACTATAAGATATAAAGAGTTGCGATTTAGCAAGCAGATTCTTGAGGTTTCTACGCAGTGAAAGTTTGCAACAGCATCCTGCCACTCTAACGCCCACAAGAAACTATTAGAGCTAAAAAGTTAAGATTAAGTATGTATAATATAGTACGTATAGTATATATAGAACTGTGGCGTCCATAATATTATAATTAATGTCTTCGTTTGACCTTGTGTAACATTTTTTGTTAATACCTATCGATCTACCAAAGATTTCTTAAATATAAACTTTATTTCGTTATGGACAGTGACGTCCTATCAGTTACTCAAAATTGTAGAAAACAGTAACGGGTATCTTATAGTCGCAATACTCGAATATAGTTTTTCTTCTTGTTATATATATAGAAGATAGTGCGGATGGACACCGAAGGACTGTCATTCATTCATTTTTTTTCATTACAGTTTCTATTTTTATTGCAGTTCAAATTTTTATAAAAAGTTGTTCTTAAAATTCATTTTTTTGTTCTTTTTATTGTGCGATATAAAATACAAAACAATTTATATAATATTTTCAGTACATTTATTTATAAAACGTGAACGATTCATTATAAAATTGAATTTTTTTAACAGTTTTTATTTGTATTGCAATTACCTTTTTATAAAAATTTCTTCTGAAATTCATTTACGTTTCTAGTTTTCTTTAATTTTTGTAACGGACGCATTTGCTTCGAAAAAATATGACCCCGAAGCGAAATGCAATTGGCCGATATACACCTCAAGCGCAAGCGAAAAGGGTATTTTGAGCCTCAGAATCAGACGAGCAACGAGCATTAAGGCTAGAAAAATTCAAGTGCATGACGCTGGGACCCGATCGTCTGAATTACCTGAACGACGGTAAGTAAGGTTAGAAAGATATGGGACATCTGACCAACAGTAAAGTCGGCGAAAAAATGTTCGAACAAGGTTCAATCAGGATGGATAAAATGGACCAAGATGGATACAATTTTCACGTAATGCAGCGCACTCAAATTTAAGATCGAAACGCCAGGGATGTGTTGCGCCAGTGGAAAAGTCAAACTGCCAGAATTACATTTCCCACCTGAACAATTCTCGTCGTTGCTTTCAGGCATAACGCATTATTCAAAACATTTTTTGACTATAAAATTAAAAGGTTCAGACGTACTGTTGCCACGTATCCCAATGATTCCGACGGTAATGACATTCGAATTCAAACGTATCAACAAAGCACATGGACAATCATTGCAAGTGTGTAGACTAAATTTGGAGAATCCATGCTTCTCACATGGGCAGTTCTATATGGCCTGCTCGCGCGTCGGAAAATTCTCGGATTCCTCCTCTGAAAAACAAGAAGCATTGTATATCCCAAAGCTTTTAAGTATATATTGAATATAAACCTAAACGAAAAATATTTTATTTGTTTTATTTTGCCCGTGCAGGGAACATAAGCTTTAGAGGACTATGTCAAGCTTGAGAAGCGGACCGAAGCGAGGCGGTCGCGCTAGTAACGTATAAATATACTTCATCAAAAATAAAAAAAATTTTCGACTTACTTCCTTGCGTCCGTCTGTTTGTTTGTCAGGAACTATAAAAGATGCATATAAGGTTAGGATCAACTATGCAGAATCTTGAGATACCTGCGCAGCGCAATTCTTCTGTTAAGCCCACAACCACAAAATTAGAAAGTTTGGATTAAACATGTAGGTTTTTGAGATGCCATAAATATTTTGGTTTGACCTTATACATATTTTTTGGCAATACCATTCTATATACAAAAATGTTTTAAATTTAACATTATTTCGTTATTTATTACAAAATTAATGTTATAAGTTCTTACTTGGTCAGCTCATTTTTAAAACTTGCCCTCTGCAGTTCGAGTCAAGGATTGCACTAGTTTGAAATTGGGTAAAGAAGAAACTGCTATCAGATAGTTTTCTTCTTGTGTTTTCATTACATTATGGAATCAGAAGTTTTAATATTTGACGTTTACTAAAATTTGTTTCTAACTTTAAAAATTTTATGCGCATTCCACTAAAATTCCATCAAATCTTCCTTGAGCTTGGGAAACCTGTTTTGTTAAGAGGTAAGGTAAAAAAATTGTGTACTTTTGGAAGAAACTTTTTAATTAGAACCAGTTAAAAATATTGTTCAGCTTTCGTTTCACACATATTAAGATAATTTTAATCTTTAAAACCTACGCACATTGAAAGTATTATTATTATATTTTTGTTATAACTTATGCTCTATTTTTTTATTCTATTATAGCCTTGGCTTTGTGTGACTGGTCACAACTGCAACAGAGGCGAAGAAACTTAGCACGACGACATTGTTCTCCTCGAGAAGCATCCTCCTACTTCAACAAGATGTCTGAGATAGGAAGCCTTGAAATTGATCAGTTACTGGACCAGCTAAATAAAATATCTCCAGGAAATCCAATCGACATAAAACCATTAATTCTAAAAGCTAGCGCCAATATGTTCTGTCAATATATGTGTTCAGTTCGGTTTAATTATACCGATAAAGATTTTCAAAAAGTGATTGAATACTTCGATGAAATCTTTTGGGAAATTAACCAGGGCTATTTATTTGATTTTTTACCTTGGCTGATTCCATTTTATACAACTCACATAAAAAAAATAACGCACTGGTCAACTACTATACGAAAATTTATATTAGATAAAATTGTCGATTGTCGAGAAAGTAACATAAATTTAGAGGAACCTGACAAAGATTTCACTGATGCTCTGCTAAAAAGTTTAAGAGAAGACCAGAATGTGTCCCGTAATACAATAATTTTTATGTTAGAAGACTTTATTGGAGGGCACACAGCAGTTGGGAATTTGGTAATGTTGGTTCTGGCATACATAGTTAAAAATCCTATAATTGGTGAGCTTATAAAGCAGGAGGTAGATTTTGTTTCGAATTATGGAGTAAGGAGTATTAGTCTTTATGATATGAATAAAATGCCATATACCATGGCGGTAATTTTAGAGGTTCTACGACATTCATCATCTCCTATTGTTCCTCATGTAGCAATGGAAGACACAGTTATATCGGGATTTGGTGTTACCAAGGGGACAATCGTTTTTATAAATAATTTTATATTAAATATAAACGAAAATAACTGGAAATATCCTGATCAATTTGAGCCGCAGCGGTTTCTAGATATAAAGCATACAGATGACAGAACCAATGTCTTGGTGGGACCAGAGTCCAGTGCAGAGCTTTACAAAAAAAGAGACAAACAGTGCGGTTTCAATAAGTTAGGCAAAATTATAAAAAAAAATTACAACAATTTAAATGATGCATATGTTTTTCAGCTTAAGAAATGTATTCCACATTTCTTACCGTTCAGTGTCGGTAAGCGCACATGTCTTGGAAAAAATCTGGTTCGAGGGTTCGGATTTCTTTTACTTGTTCATATTATAAAAAATTACAATGTGAATAGTGCGGACTTTTCAAAAATTAAATTACAAAAATCCAGTGTGGCCCTGCCAAATAAATGTTTTCAACTATTATTGCGCCCAAGAAAATAAATAGTATATTATATATTATATTTTGTAACCCAACTAAAAAACCATTTATATTCCACTCATAAAATTCTGCTTATGTAGTCTAATGCTTAAGTTTAACTTAGTTCTTATAAGCATTTTTAATGATATTTAGAAGACTGAGCCAATAAATGGAATATGAATATAATAAAATAGTTAAATGTGTAAATCATTTTTAGTTTGACATTAAAATTTGTTATTATGAAACATTATTAAATAAAATTCACGGCCCTGGACTCACAAAATTTTAGCTTAGCCCACACAATCTTAACGATGTGTATGGATCTCAGTTATTCTTCTGACGGCATAGAATCGTAATATAATTAAAAAAATATTAAATGTGCCCAGAATAGATACCCGCGCAACTGACTTGAACACTGTTCCTTATTTAATTCTTTTCCCCCACCTTTCCTATTTTAGTTTATGTGTCTGCGCAACCTTTACTTAGCTCTAATAAGCATTTTACAACAATTTAGAAGACTGAACCAATAAATGGAATATGAAAATTGATAAAAGGAATAAATGTGTAAATCGTAATTAGTTTATCATTCAATTTTCTAAATATGTAACATTCAAAAAAAAAACTACGGCACTGAGCCCACCCAACTCAGCACCAAAATGACTTTAACAGGCTCAATTCTACTAAAATAGATATTATAAATAATTTTATATTACTTACATGCCACGTAGAAAGTCTAAAATTAACTAAAGATCTCGTTAATATGTAGTCAGGCACAGTTTAAAAAATTCTCCATCCCAACCCCAATAATAAGGTGTGAGCTCTAGAAAAATTACACATACACAACACATACATTATCTGTTTTATTGGGTATACTAATTTATTTTATTGATTGTTCGAAGCAGAAGTAACAAAGTTGTTAAGTTTTCAAATGACATTGGCTATTGTTTGGTTTGATACATTTTTGAAACCAAAAGGTATCCAAAAAGTTGGCCTCGGAGAGTTCTATTATATTCGCCTAGTTTTGTAATCAGAGCGATCGAAATGCCATAGCCTCATAGCAAGCCTGTCTGCAAGTTAAAGGGTAATAGTAGTTCAAACCCTTCCCTAGCGGTTATTGGGTCACCCTAGAATGGAGCTTAGACTTCGAGTACCTGCGCTCCCACAATCTGGGCTCTCCGTAGGTGCGCCGTCGGCTTGTTAACTCTTAAGTTTAGTTTTTATTTGATGTTCAATAAATCAAGAGCACCAGCTCCTATTCATGAAACTGCGGCTATTGGCCGTTAAATCTCTTATTAATTATTATACTGACTGAGTCACTAGGTCAGCGGTATCGAAGGACTGTTATCCTTCCGCCGTAATCTTCCTTTCTCAACATAGGATCAATACGACCACCCTTAGGGATCTACAAGGACGAGGGCCACCAGCGGCAGCAACCTTCCGCCGACCCCCCGCCACGGATATCCAACCAGCCGGCTCTACCCCAACCACGGAGGCTCAGCCAGCCAGCCCTGCCGATTAAATAATTGGCGTCCAACGGACTAATATTATTACTAATATTCGAAGCCCACCCCTGAAGTTATACAATATGTAAGTAGCCAAGGTTTACACATACATAAACACACAAATACCAGTGCATACAATTTCCTATGCCCAGCAATAGGAATTTTTTACGAATAATTAAAAAGTGACTCGATATTCGATTTCTAATTCAGATTTTTTCAAGTGCATTATAAAATAAAGGAAACCAAATAACTCAAATAACGCACACTGGTGCCAAAGCAATCAATATTTATATGAATTAATTATGCAAAGAAATATTTTATTTCTTTATTAGTGTTGGTCTCTATACACATGCAGAGGTTGCCAGTCGTTCACTGTGCTTATATTAATTTACTAATGTTATTCAGTATGTCTGTGCTAATAATGCACCCAGTCGAATTGACCAACACCTGTTGTCTCGCCCTCTTACCATGCTGTATTTTAATTTTGTTTTTGGGACAAAGTAATCCAATATTTATGTGTTTTAGGTGACAATCCATTATTTTTCGCTAATTTTTTTCGGTTTTTATATCGCAAAAAAGTGGCCCATCGAAATCTTATGTCTTGTGTCCCAATCGTTAAATACCTCGTATCTGTGTAGTGTATCCACCGCTAACCTACCCAGCTTCCCTTAGCTGCCAATGAGTGGCGGGTATAGGGAAGTAAAACAGGAAATTGATAGCGACGATAGCAAAGAAGTAGGATTCTGCACCGAAGTAGATCGTAGATCAACCAGAAATGAACGCGGACATGAGCCAAGCGCTTGTCGCAAATGCGGTCAGCACCTCTCTCGCTGCTTAGGAAGAGCGTTTAAGAAGCGACTTCGCCTCAGAGTTAGAAGCTGGTAGAACACAGGTTAGCGCGCTGACAGTGCAAACGCAGCAGGTGGAGGTATATAAAAGAGCGATACTGAACCCTGAAATAAAATGCGATGTCAAGTTAGACATAGTAAAATCTCTGCCGACGTTCAATGGAAGCCACGATGAGTACGTTTTGTGGAGGCGGGCTGCATCAGATACATACGAAGTATTCAAAAATTACGACGGCAGCGAAGCCCACAACGAGGCCGTTGTCATCATTAAAAACAAAATTTGCTGTCCCGCTCGGTCACTCCTCACGTCCCACAACACCGTGCTGAATTTCGATGCAATTCTGTCCAGACTAGATTGCACATATCCGGGCAAAACGTCCCTAAGAGTGCTACGGCAAAATTTGGATATGGTAAGGAGATGCCGACCTTATGGCATACTATGACGAGGTCGAGAGGAAACTCACGCTCGTCACTAACAAAATATTCAAGTCAAATAACACGGACACAGCAACCAACCTAAATAAGGAGGTTAGGGATGACGACCTTCATGCATTCATTGCAGGGCTTAAAAGACCACTTAAGTCACTCGTGCTACCAGTACGACCCAAAGACCTTCCGTCTGCACTAGCGTTAGCGCGGGAAGCCGAGAACAACATTAAAAGAAGTCCGTCCGCGGCATGTTTCGCGATAGAAGACAAGTCCCCTTTCAATGAGGGCAACAAGTGCAACAATAAAGGTCAGGGAAAGCAATGGAGAGGTGGGGAGAAATCTCCGCACTTCATTCCTAAACAGAACCAAGGCAGGCCTCATGAGGACAATCCCCGGCCAATGTGCAGGGATCCTTAGACCTTAGACCCCACTAAAGTTCAGCCCATGAAGGTAGACACCTCAACGGCTAAATTAAGACAAGAAACAAGCTGGGGAAAGCCACACAGAAATAACAATTACTAAAGGCAGAACTCGTCCCAGCGTCAATCGGGTCGAAGACGCCAACGCGTCAATAATATAGCCCAAGGTATACAGACAGGAAATAGCCCAGGAGAAACCAGGTTATGCCGCCACAGCTGAGGCTGAGGTTGCCATCATTGAGGAAGATAGTGACACTGCCGAGCTTAACGACCTCATCCATGTTTTAGGGAGCGCAGTAAAAATTCTCATCGACACGGGGGCGGCAAAGAATTAGGTAAAACCCGTAAAGGAGCTAAGAAACGTAATTCCGGTCGAGACCTCCTTCACTGTGAGCTCTATTCACGGCTCCAGTGTCGTCAAAAACAAGTGCACAATGCGCATTTTTGGACTGGACGTCCCATTTTTCCTCTTGTATACACGAATCACGTTCGATGCTATAAAAGGCTTCGATTCACTAACGCGAGCAGGAGTAGCATTTGACCTAGGCAACAGCGTAATAAAATACGCAAAAGTCACTAAAAAGCTCAAATTTTTTGACTGTCAGAACGTCAATTTAACAAAAATCTATGACATAGTGGTGCAAAGTTCGGATAAAGACCAATTCAAAAAAATTATTCTGAAAAGAATTAAGGTGTTTTCGACCTCTAACGAGGCGCTCACCTTTAACACATCGGTTATCGCTACTATTCGAACTACGAGTGTCGAACCTGTCTACTACAGGTTATAACCCTATCCTATGAGGGCAGCAGACTTTGTAAAAAAAAGAAATCAAAGTGCTGCTGGAAAATGGCATAATTAGGCCGTCCAGATCACCGTACAACAGCCCTACCTGGCTAGTTGACAAAAAATAGACTGACGATAATGGCATCAAGAAGAAGCGATTAGTAATTGACTTTAAAAAGCTGAAGGAGCGAACTGTGGACAATCCCTACCCCATGCCAAGTATACCCATGATTCTGGCGATCTTGGAGAAAGTCAAATTCTTTACCACCGTAGACTTAAAGTCAGGGTACCATCCACAGAAACCAAAACAGACCTCTGAACTGCTTCAGAAACCAAATCATTTTGGAAGAAGCAGGCCAACCGCTTCGGCGAAATTTCATAGTCTTCGAAAATCGGAACTCGCCATATCACTAACTTTAATAACAAGGACTCATCAAGGATCATCAACGCCAACGTTGTGATTTCCCAACTTTTTCACTGTGATTTCCCAACTCTGGCTCGTATCCAACATGCCTTGAGGCAGGAATTTCTAGCGACATAGTTTTGACATTGTGAAACCTTCGTCAACGACATCACTAACGCCAATGAACAGCTTGAAATCGCTAACACCAAGCAGAAGAACGCAAAACAAATCCTCCGGGATTATTACTTCCAGACCATGTCCAAATTAGCTAGCAAAGTGGTCGCAAATTGCAAGGTATGCAATAAAGCCAAATAGGACCGCCATCCCAAGAAGCAGGAATTAGGAACTACGCCGATCCCTTCATACGTTGAGGAAATGTTGCATATCGAAATTTTTTCGACCGACAAAAAAATTTTCTTAACCTGCATTGACAAATTATCCAAATTCGCTATCGTACAGCCCTTGGTTTCTAGGGCAATAATATATGTACGAGCACCTATTCGCCAATTGCTAAATTTCTACCCCAATACCAAAACCATATACTGCGACAACGAGTACCTTGGCAAAAATTGCCAGATGCCTCAAAATTTAAAAAAAAAATAAAGGATACTGTGGAACTTATATTGCGGTCTACGGTAGAATACAATAGGTCGCTACATTCGGTCACAGAGTTTAGGCCGGTGAAGGTCATCCACGCCAGCAGCGATAAGATGAAACTGGCAATTAAAGCCAAAATTGACAAGGCGCAATAGTCTAACCTAGACAGGGTTAATCCTTCAAGGCAGAACCGAGTCTTCAAAGTCGGTGAAAGAGTACACCTACGCAACAACAAAAGATTAGGGAACAAATTAACACAGCTTTATTCAGAAGAGCGTGTTCTAATTAGGGGGAGGGCGGTCCATAAGGACAACATCAGATAGGCTTTTAATCTGCCACATTCGCCCTTATACTAAAACTCAATATTTGTTATAATTCTCCCAGGCTTGCAATATATCCATCATACTGCTGTACACCGCAAGCACGCTAATCACCGACTTCTCGCATGCAAAATACATTCCGGTCTTAGACGGGAATGTTTTATTATGGAAACAGTATGGCCTGGTCAGGACATAGAATGGCCAGAAGCCTCGATTTTTTGGGCTCAGTCCTTAAGGTCGTGGCGGGTACACTCGACGCGGATGATCTTAGTAGAAGTAACACCAATCAAGCATCGCTTATCGAGGCTAACAATAGACAGGTTATCATTAACACAGAAATACAGAAACACATAAATGGGTTCACAGACACAGTGAATAAGATCCTCAAGGAGAAAAGGGACGGGTTTGTTGACTCAGGTCATTTGTTCGAAACACTCCTCCCCAGAAACAGAATGCTAATATCCGAAATCCAAAATTGTATGCTCACTATTACACTCGATAAATACAATATTATAAACCCTACTATTTTCGACCATAATGACCTAAAGGCTATCTTTGACGAACAGCTCACGGAGGTCCCCTTAGTTTGCCTTATGGATGTATCTAAGACTAAAATTTTTCAATCCACTGTTTTTATCCATATCATAGTTCAGTATCCTCTTCAGTATGCTCTTCCCTGTCGTACACTACCACACATCGTGGCGAAATGTGATGACGGAATCCTAGCAGTCTCCGATTGCGCTAGAGCTGAGCCAGGATATTGTACCGTTCTGGGCCGTGGCTTTGTCTCATTGGCTGACAGCGATCGTATGTCTTCTGCAAAATGTGAATGGTTAGCGGTAGGCCAAGGGCATACGGTCATGGATGAGCTTTTGTCAATTCTGAAGTTTAGTTCTTATTTGATGTTACACCAGCTCATATTCATGAAACTGCCTATTATACTGACTGGTATCGAAGGACAGTTACCCTTCCGCCGTAATCTCCCTATCTCAACAAAGGAGTAATACGACCACGTTTTGGTATCTACAGCGACAAAGGCCACCAGCGGCAGCAACCTTCCACCGACCCCCCGCCACGGATATCCAACCACCCGGCTCTACCCCGACCACGGAGGCCGTTTAAATAATATATATTCTTGATCAGTATCAATAGCGAAGTCGATTAAGCCGTATCCATCTGTCCATATAAACGCTAAGATCTCAAGAACTCTAAGAGATAAAGAGTTGCGATTTAGCAAGCAAATTCTTGAGGTTTCTACGCAGCGCAAGTTTGAAACAGCATCCTGCCACTCTAACGCCCACAAGAAACTATTAGAGCTAAAAAGTTAAGATTAAGTACGTATAATATAGTACGTATAGTATAGAACTGTGGCGTCCATATTATAATTAATGTCTTCGTTTGACCTTGTGTAACATTTTTTGTTAATACCTATCGATCTACCAAAGATTTCTTAAATACAAACTTTATTTCGTTATGGACAGTGACGTCTTATCAATTACTCAAAATTGTAGAAACCAGTAACGGGTATCTTAAAGTCGCAATACTCGAATATAGTTTTTCTTCTTGTTATATGTATAGAAGATAGTGCGGATGGACACCGAAGGACTGTCAAACTTATTACCATTTATTGGACAAGCATACAGGAATACGGAAAGTCCTGTCTCTCTTAAGGGACTGCATTCATGTAGGTATCTTTTCAAGTTACAGATTGCTTTGCATCTGCGTAGTTTTTAATTAGTACCTGTGATTCAAGGTTTGGTGAGTTTTTTATGCTTTTTTTTTATAAATTGGTGTACATAGCAATACAAAATTCATTTTTTTTCATTACAGTTTCTATTTTTACTGCAGTTCAAATTTGTATAAAAAAGTTGTTCTTAAAATTCATTTTTTTTGTTCTTTTTATTGTGCGATATAAAAATTTATATAATATTTTCAGTACATTTATTTATAAAACATGTACGATTCATTATAAAATTGAATTTTTTTTAACAGTTTTTATTTGTATTGCAATTTAACTTTTTATAAAAATTTCTTCTGAAATTCATTTACGTTTCTAGTTTTCTTTAATTTTTGTAACTTTTCTTAATTGACGGACGCATTTGCTTCGAAAAAATATGACCCCGAAGCGAAATGCAATTGGCCGATATACACCTCAAGCGCAAGCGAAAAGGGTATTTCGAGCCTCAGAATCAGACGAGCAACGAGCATTAAGGCTAGGAAAATTCAAGCTCATGCCGCTGGGACCCGATCGTCTGAATTACCTGAACGACGGTAAGTAAGGTTAGAAAAATATGGGACATATGACCAACAGTAAAGTCGGCGAAAAAATGTTCGAACAAGGTTCAATCAGGATGGATAAAATGGACCAAGATGGATACAATTTTCACGTAATGCAGCGCACTCAAATTTAAGAGCGAAACGCCAGGGATGTGTTGCGCCAGTGGAAAAGTCAAACTGCCAGAATTACATTTCCCACCTGAACAATTCTTATTCAAAACATTTTTTGACTATAAAATTAAAAGGTTAAGACGTAATGTTGCCACGTATCCCAATGATTCCGACGGTAATGACATTCGAATTCAAACGTACCAACAAAGCACAATGACAATCATTGCAAGTGTGTAGACTGAATTTGGAGAATCCATGCTTCTCACATGGGCAGTTCTATATGGCCTGCTCGCGCGTCGGAAAATTCTCGGATTCCTCCTCTGAAAAACAAGAAACATATTATTTCCCAAAGCACTTCAGTATATATTGAATAGAAACCTAAACGAAAAATATTTTATTTGTTTTATTTTGCCCGTGCAGGGAACATAAGCTTTAGAGGACTATGTCAAGCTTGAGAAGCGGACCGAGGCTGTCGCGCTAGTAACGTATAAATATACTTCATCAAAAATAGCGCACCATATTTTCGACTTACTTCCTTGCGTCCGTCTGTTTGTTTGTCAGGAACTATAAAAGATGCATATAAGTTTAGGATCAACTATGCAGAATCTTGAGATACCTGCGCAGCGCAATTCTTCTGTCAAGCCCACAACTACAAAATTAGAAACTTTGGATTAAACATGTAGGTTTTTGAGATGCCATAAATATTTTGGTTTGACCTTATACATATTTTTTGGCAATACCATTCTATATACAAAAATGTTTTAAATTTAACATTATTTCGTTTTTTATTACAAAATTAATGTTATAAGTCCTTACTTGGTCAGCTCTTTTTTAAAACTTGCCCTCTGCAGTTCGAGTCAAGGATTGCACTAGTAACGGGTTCAAGATCTGGTTAAGATTTTGAAATTGGGTAAAGAAGTTACTGCTATCAGATAGTTTTCTTCTTGTGTTTTCATTACATTATGGAATCAGAAGTTTTAATATTTGACGTTTACTAAAATTTGTTTCTAACTTTAAAAATTTTATGCGCATTCCACTAAAATTCCATCAAATCTTCCTTGAGCTTGGGAAACCAGTTTTGTTAAGAGGTAAGGTAATAAAATAGTTTACTTTTGGAAGAAAAGTGATTGAATACTTAGATGAAATCTTTCGGGAAATTAACCAGGGCTATTTATTTGATTTTTTACCTTGGCTGATTCCATTTTATACAACTCACATAAAAAAAATAATGCACTGGTCAACTACTAAACGAAAATTTATATTACATAAAATTGTCGATTGTCGAGAAAGTAACATAAATTTAGAGGAACCTGACAAAGATTTCACTGATGCTCTGCTAAAAAGTTTAAGAGAAGACCAGAATGTGTCCTGTAATACTATAATTTTTATGTTAGAAGACTTTATTGGAGGGCACACAGCAATTGGGAATTTGGTAATGTTGGTTCTGGCATACATAGCTAAAAATCCTATAATTGGTGAGCTTATAAAGCAGGAGGTAGATTTTTATTCGAATTATGGAGTAAAGAGTATTAGTCTTTATGATACGAATAAAATGCCTAACCATGGCGGTAATTTTAGAGGTTCTACGACATTCATCATCTCCTATTGTTCCTCATGTAGCAATGGAAGACACAGTTATATCGGGATTTGGTGTTACCAAGGGGACAATCGTTTTTATAAATAATTTTGTATTAAATATAAGCAAAAAAAACTGGATATATCCTGATCAATTTGAGCCGCAGCGGTTTCTAGATATAAAGCATACAGATGACAGAACCAATATCTTGGTGGGACCAGACTCCAGTGCAGAGCTTTACAAAAAAAGAGACAAACAGTGCGGTTTCAATAAGTTAGGCAAAATTACAAAAAAAAATTACAACAATTTAAATGATGGATATGGTTTTCAGCTTAAGAAATGTATTCCTCATTTCTTACCGTTCAGTGTCGGTAAGCGCACATGTCTTGGAAAAAATCTGGTTCGAGGGTTCGGATTTCATTTACTTGTCCATATTATAAAAAATTACAATGTGAATAGTGCGGACTTTTCAAAAATTAAATTACAAAAATCCAGTGTGGCCCTGCCAAATAAATGTTTTCAACTGTTATTGCGCCCAAGAAAATAAATAGTATATTATACTCGTATATTATATTTTGTAACCCAACTAAAAAACCATTTATTTTCCACTCATAAAATTCTGCTTATGTAGTCTAGTGCTTAAGTTTAACTTAGTTCTTATAAGCATTTTTAATGATATTTAGAAGACTGAGCCAATAAATGGAATATGAATATAATAAAATAGTTAAATGTGTAAATAATTTTAAGTTTGACATTAAAATTTGTTATTATGAAACATTATTAAATAAAATCCACGGCCCTGGACTCACACAATTTCAGCTTAGCCCACACAATCTTAACGATGTGTCTGGATCTCAGTTATTCTTCTGACGGCATAGAATCGTGATTTATTGGGTCAGACGAGAAAAATATTAATGTGCCCAGAATAGATACCCGCGCAACTGACTTGAAGACTGTTCCTTATTTAATTCTTTTCCCCCACCTTTCCTATTTTAGTTTATGTGTCTGCGCAACCTTTACCTAGCTCTAATAAGCATTTTACAACAATTTAGAAGACTGAACCAATAAATGGAATATGAAAATTGATAAAAGGAATAAATGTGCAAATCGTAATTAGTTTATCATTCAATTTTCTAAATATGTAACTTTCAAAAAATAACTACGGCACTGCTTTACAAGCACCAAAATGACTTTAACGGGCTCAATTCTACTAAAATAGATATTATAAATAATTTTATATTACTTACATGCCACGTAGAAAGTCTAAAATTTTCTAAAGATCTCGTTAATAGGTAGTAGGGCACAATTTAAAAAATTCTCCATCCCAGCCCCAATAATAAGGTGTGAGCTCTAGAAAAATTACACATAGACAACATATACATTATCTGTTTTATTGGGTATACAAATTTATTTTATTGATTGTTCGAAGCAGAAGTAACAAAGTTGTTAAATTTTCAAATGACATTGGCTATTGTTTGGTTTGATACATTTTTGAAACCAAAAAGTATCCAAAAAGTTGGTCTCGGAGAGTTCTATTATATTCGCCTAGTTTTGTAATCAGAGCGATCGAAATGTCATAGCCTCATAGTAAGCCTGTCTGTAAGTTTCCCTAGCGGTTATTGGGTCACCCTAGCATGGAGCTTAGACTTCGAGTACCTACGCTCCCACAATCTGGGCTCTCCGTAGGTGCGCCGTCGGCTTGCCGCTGCTGGCTAGGAGACAATGCTTAGATTGTTTTGGCTCTTAGTTTTAGTCTTCTTGGGTATCCCAATAAACAGCAGTCGCTCGATGAAAGCTACTCCGGCGGAAGCCGTTATTTTTCTGATTTGGATTAGTGTGCCTTAAGGGCCACTAACTGACGCCCTACACCTACGTCACCTGCGAAGGCGCCGCGTCAAGGAGCGCCCGCCGCTGACCAAGAAGACATCTGCACCTGGCAAGGATCGGCCAGGAGACCGCGTTCGACGCAGGCCCCGCAAGCCCCATGACATAACTCACCGGACCTTGACACCCCGGCACCACAGCGACATTAACGGCAGCGTGGGACTCCCGTTATGTCCTTACCTAATTGACACCCAACTGTAAAAAGAATCCATGACCCCAAGAAGAAAATGTAAGTGGGCTAGTGTTTAAGTGTTGGGTAAGTGTTCCGATTAAATACAGCCTCAAAAAAAAAAAGAGAATTACACTGGCTAGGAAAACTTTTTCCCTTGAGACAATTTTTTATTTTAATTTTGCATAAATAATAAATAGCAATTGTGACCGGTGCGTGTGGCCTATTAAATTAAATTTTGGAGTTTTAAAATAATATTTAAATAAAAATGTTTGATGTTAAATTTTTTTTCAAGTGAAAGAACTATTTGAATATTAATTCTTCTAAATAAAATATTTTTATATATAATATTATATTTTATTTGTTGTTGCCAAGATAATTTTAGTCGAATTAGAATATTCGGCCTTTCAGTGAATGTGAAGTGTCAACCACCTAGTTTAGTCTTGATGAGGTTTCGGGGCCCATGTAGAGAAGTGAAACGGGAATTCAAAAGTGAATGTGAAGAAAGATGGGACGAAGGTAGCGCAAGCCTTTGTCCAAAACAGGGAAAGGTTGAGCGTTCAGTCTGCGTTAGTCCAAGCACAGATTTGCGCAGTTTATTAACAGCTACAAGAGCTGCGTGTAGAGGCGCCGCAAGTCGAGGCTTACCAGAGAATAAGTGAGAGCCCAACGGCAGTACCGTGCGACATACCGTTACATGTAGTCAAGCCGGTTCCTGAGTTTAACGGGGTACAAGATGAGTAAGTAGCATGGCGTAAGTCAGCCACCGACGCCTACGAGTTATTCCAACTATATCAGGGCAGCAGCCGATGCTGACTGCAGCTTTGGTTTGCAGGTATAAGCGAATATCGTGAAAACGATGCGAATTGAGTTTATTTATGGGAATTATTAAAATGAATAAAAAAATAAATAATAATAATAAGTAAATTTCTTAACTATAACACGCGTTTACGATCACGTTGGGGTCACCAAATGTTTTGAGGAGGTAATAACCTACAGGTATACAAAAAAATGCGGTGCCGTGAACGGTGCGAAAAAAAAGCCGAGATTATTTTTCTATGTTTTTTTAGCACAGCTGCGACTGGGTGTTGACAGCGATAGAGAACGAAATATAACAGAGCGAGCCGATTAATCGGCGACTCATGAGCGGTTATCTCGGCTTGTGTTATAGTTAAAAGAGAAAATTCAGCATACATTGATGCCGAACGAATTGTAAGCCGTGATTTTAGTATTAGCTAGATGACTGCTCGTGACAATAGAATTTAAATTAGTTTTTTTTTACAAACAGTTTTTATTTTTATTGCAATTCAACTTTTTAAAAAAATTTCTTCTGAAATTTATTTAAGTTTTTAATTTTCTTTAATTGTTGTATATTTTTATACCCGATACTCGTAGTGTAAAAGGGTATACTAGATTCGTTGAAAAGTATGTAACAGGTAGAAGGATGATTTTCTGGCCCTATAAAGTATATATATTCTTGATCAGTATCAATAGCGAAGTCGATTAACCCGTATCCGTCTGTCTGTATAAACGCTAAGATCTCAGGAACTAAAAGAGATAAAGAGTTGCGATTTAGCAGGCAGATTGAGGTCCCTACGCAGCGCAAGTTTGTTACATCATCCTACCTCGCCCACTCTAACGCCCACAAGGAACTATTAGGGCTAAAAAATTAAGATTAAGTATGTATAATCTTGAGATGACGGCGCATCTTATGATAGTACCATTATGCGGCCACACCCATTCTTATACCCACCAAGCTCGGTAGACGGTTTTCGGATTTTTTAGAACACCTGATATTTTGGTAACTATAAATGACAGAAAGTCGGATTAAGCATATAGGTTTTAATGATGCCAGAAATGCGAATTCTTTTTCCCATCTTGCCACGCCCACAAGAACCGGAAACCGAAAAATGCAAAATAAGAGCAAAAAAGTTGTGCTTAAGAATACTTATTTTAGAGATAGCACTGCAACTAAATGCGAGTTTTCATCCTGCCACGCCCATTCTAACGCCCACAAACCGCGGAACGCTGTGGCGTCCATAATATTATAATGAATGTCTTCGTTTGTCCTTGTGTAACATTTTTTGTTAATACCTATCGATCTATCAAAGATTTCTTAAATATAACCTTTATTTCGCTATTTATGAAGAAATGTAGGCTATATGTCTCACATGGACAGTGACGTCCTATCAGTTACTCAAGATGCTTTCTCTGGCAATATGTGGCGCTTTATAAATTTGCACCAGCAAAATGAATTTATTAAAATTGTAGAAAACAGTAACGGGTATCGCGGTACTCGAATATAGTTTTTCTTCTTGTTATATGTATAGAAGATAGTGCGGATGGACACCGATGGGGGAGGTTCCTATAAATGAAAAAGAAGTTTCATTTGTAGCCACTTACAATAAGACTGTCAAACGTATTACCGTTTATTGCAGAAGCATACAGGAATACATATCATAAGTCAATCGCCCTGCAAGTAGCAGGTATATGGCTTGATGACAGGGAAAGTCCTAAAATTATTGGGACTCTCTTAAGGGACTACATTCATGTAGGTATCTTTTAAAGTTACAGATTGCTAGGTATCTGCATAGTTTTAAATTAGTACCTGTGATTCAAGGTTTGGTGAGTTTTTTCTGCTTTTTTTTTAATAAATTGGTGTACACAGCAATTGTATTTTTATTGCAGTTCAAATTTGTATAAAAAAGTTATTATTAAAATTCATTTTATTTGTTCTTTTTTTTGCTGGAAAATGGCATAATTAGGCCGTCCAGATCACCGTACAACAGCCCTACCTGGGTGGTTGACAAAAAGGGACTGACGATAATGGCATCAAGAAGAAGCGATTAGTAATTGAGTTTAAAAAGCTGAACGAGCGAACAGTCGACGATCGCTACCCCATGCCAAGTATACCCATGATTCTGGCGAACTTGGAGAAAGCCAAATTCTTTACCACCGTAGACTTAAAGTCAGGGTACCATCAAATATACCTGCCTGAAAGGACCGAGAAAATACCTCGTTCTCAGTTAATGGGGGAAATACCGAATTTTGCCGACTATCCTTCGGCCTAAAAAACGCAGGGAGTATTTTCCAAAGAGTCATCGACGATGTGCTGTTGAAAGAAATCGCCAAAATATGTTACGTCTACGTTGACGACGTTATCATCTTTTTCGAAAATGAAACGAGGCATGTCAAGCACATTAATAAAGTGCTTAAGCGCCTTCTCGATGCCAACATTAGGGTGGCACGGGAAAAGACAAAGTTCTTTAAAGAGAGCGTTGAATTTTTAGGATTCATTGTCACTAGAGGAGGAACAAAAACCGACCCAGAAAAAGTGAGGGCAATAAAAGAGTTCGCAGAACGAAAAAAAATCTGTTTAGCCTCAGGTCTTTCCTCGGCTTGGCGAGCTATTACAGGAGCTTTGTAAAAAATTGTACCTCTATTTTTTTTTTTTTTTTTTTTCGCGACTCCCGTTGCTTAACGTGCAACCCACC